CTTTAATCAGTGAATACAATAGAAAACAGTAAAGAATATGTAAATAATCAATGATGTAATTTGTTTGTTATGGCTTAATGTCCAGCAAGCAAAAATAAAAAAAACTGTCAACTGTGGTTTCACAATTATTTAGAAAACAAAGCTACATACATTTAAAAGTTACAGCACAGTGTTGATATTTTGAATATATTTGAAAAATTAAACCTTAACAAAATTACACGAGCAAAGTTTCCTGTTTTACCCTTTAATGTCTTAAATTTCCTACATATTTCTCTTGATATTCTGTTCATATCAAGTTAATTCTGTAGCCTGGTATTTTCCAGACTCTATCATCTAAAAATTCAGAGACATGATCTGGGTTCAATTCTTGCTTTTTGTCTTTGTACTATTTCAGTATCTTCAGTTTTCCAGCAGGAATCTACAACTTTTTTTTTTTTGTTAAGTTCAAGATGTTCTAAAGATGTTTTTAGCTGATAAAACAGAGGCTGTTAACTTCTGAATAGCTTGATTTGATTTTTAGCTTCTGAATAGCTTGATTTGATTTTCCTTAAATTTGTCTTAAATTTCTTCTAAATAGACCAAAAAAACCAACCCCAAACCCCACCTGAAAAAACACATTCTGTAGAAACTATGAAACATTGCTACTATCTACATAACCTTATAAAAATAGTTACCTGCTCTCTATTATATCAGCACTATTTAACATCTGTATATACTTCTCCCTTGTACTCCAACGAGTCATAATAACTGCTGTAGCTGTAGTGTCAAACTGAAAAATAAAACCACAAACAAAAACTGCTCTCTAGCTCTCAGCAAAAAATTTCCAGTTGAACATGCATCACGTATCTGTTGAAACGATTAAAACTGTTTTCTTAAAATCCTTATTGAAATGGCTGTTGAACGCCCAGGCCTCTCTAACTTAAAGGCAAGTTCTAACTCATCTGGGTAGCAAGCAGAACTCGGGATTTCAGCCATTGCTGGCAGGCAGGTCAGCGCACCAGCCTGTACGTGCTAATGCACATATAAGAGACACACGTCGAGAAACAACACAAATGAACCATTACTGACCTCCTTACAAGGTCCACAGCTAAGGAAAGGATTCCTAATCACAACCACAGAAAATCATTTACTGACACGAATTCTCATCGGTAATCCCCAAACATTAGAAAGTCTTCAATGAACAGTCAAGCCTTTTACAGTCATTTCTTATAATCTTCATCATCTACTCTCAAGCCACCTCACTTAATTGTTTTGTTTTGTAATGCAAAAAATACTGTTAGACTGATTTGTTGGTTTTTGTATGAGAAGTTTCCTGACTTTCCCATTTTTTAGATCAGATTAGTGTATGTAATACTTAAAGGCAGATCTTGGTAAATATTCCAGGTCTTGACTCAGAAAGTTGAAGCGGCTTAGGATTCCGAGTCACAACTTTAAAAATCTTACTGAATTACAATCGCTAGTTAAAAAACAAAACAAAACAAAACAATCAGTTGAAGTTAGGAATATAGGAATTTCCATACTAGTTTAGATCTTCAGTCCAGATAAAATACTTTCATGTACACAACACACCACAGTGGCTAATACAGGCAGCGTCTGGAGACAGATGTGGGGTAAGCTATCTCCTGTATTAGGCTTTATCTGTATTTCTAAAAATTAGAAGACTTAAAAGCGTAAGATTTAACATAAATGATTTGGAGACTTTCAAGAGGTAATTTGGAGACTTTCAATATGTATAATTAAAATAACCATTTTTAAATTCTGCCCTCCCCTCCCTCCTTTTTACAACCAAATCAACGTCTAAACCCTTCCTAAAACACAGCATTCTTAGCATCAGCAACCTCTTGTGGAAGCAAAATGAAACAGCTTTTTGAAGGCAGTGTTTCTGACCCTCCCCCTCTACCCCAATTCCAACTTAATTAGATTTTTTCTTGTTCTGATGGTATGAGAACAAAAGCACATTGCTCTCTATACTATTCAAAATTCCAGAATTTTTATCATGCAATTTATAAGTTGTTTGCCAGCTTTCTACTTTTTCTCTAATCCCCATTCGTAATGCAACCCAAATGTAATCTTTAGATCTTTTTCCACAGCAAAGTGAAGCAGTACTTTTTAGTGGACAATACAAAAGCAAACATTTCTTTCTCAATTAAGAAGTTACCCAGGAGTAATTTAACTATTAATAACAACCCTTTAAAAACCAAATGCTGCAGTAAAATTCTTGGCATTGTAGTTTCTTTGCCAAGAATAGTTTCTACTGATCCGCCTATAGATACCATCAATATAATATAGCATTAACTTACTTGAGGCCTTCCTGCTCTCCCAATCATTTGCAGAATATCAGTTTCACTGTACTCTTGGAACACTCCTCCAACATAGTGCATTGTGGACTTTATAACCACCAGGTGTGCAGGTAGATTGACTCCCATAGCTAAGGTGCTAGTAGTAACTACAGTAGATTAAAGTATATTGATTGCAAGATGAACACCACTGAAATGTCTGGCAGACATTAAACAAGCAGCAAGTAAGTGGCTAATTCCGATTCCTAAGAGCTCTTATTTTCTAGTGAAGTCAGTGGGCATTCTGCACCACAAAGAATTAGACGTAGATTACAGACATGTATTTGCTTAACAATTTCTGTGTATCTAATAATCAGCATTCATTTATCATCGAGTATTCTTCAACAAATTACATCCCAGATATTTTTATTTAAACATTCCTTAACATTTGGAGATAATCCAGAATCCAATCCATCTTCAGTATAACACACTGAAGAAACATTATTCATATTTCTTCATGGATAGATATTTGAACACAGCCATGACTTCATCTTGCTTCGTAGTGATCAGTATCTTTAAAATGTATTGGTTTTTTACATCATCAGTCATTAGCATCGTTTATATCCATGGTACCATACCAGAATCACCACCAATACTATCACAATACTTTACCAATACAAACTCTCACATGGAAAACACCAGTCGAGTTTGTGGCAAATTATCTCACACTCATGTTTTTTAATTCACTTTCTCTAACAAATATATGGGGTGGCAGGAATTGAACATGAAAAGCCAGCTATACAGGCCAACTGATACAACTATTCCACTGGGAAAACAAAGTATTAATGAATTTTCCAATTCTTTTTGAAATGAAAGGAGAACTAAAATTAGTAATTATAGGTACATCAGGAAAGAGGAATCCAATCTAAACTAAAGGCATAACCATACCATCTTGTGAGAATATTACTGTTTTTCATATTATGATGCTATGCAAACTGGGAAATTTGTCAACGCAAAATGACTTAACCATAAAAAAGCTGCAAAGAAAGGTTACTTACCAGTGCAATCAGATCTTCAGTCCATGTATGCGTGTGTGTATACATACACGTATACACACACAGTCAGTATACATACACTCTATTTCAAGACCATAGAATTTTTCCCCTTTGCAGTATCTGTGAAAGGTGTGTTAAAACTACCCCCATCATGCTCACAGACATATAAAGTGGAATATGCCGCATAGTCTTTCAGTTTCCCCTCAGCTGTAGAAATGTAATTCCAGTATCTCAGATGATTCTGAAATATTCGTACAAACTATAAATTTCAAAGGACTTAAGTACCAATAAGCACCTTCGCATTCTTTCAGTGTAGTCCATATGTACATTCACATTGTGCTCAGCTGTGGCACAGGCTCTCAAAGTTATTTTTGCAAAGAGCAATTGTAGAACCACGGCCTCCTGAGATTTCAGAAATGGCACTGCAGTTGGCAAAGCCATACACAGTGCACCAGGCAGCCAAAGTACAGTAGATTGCAGGGATACAGAGACTTTTTAATACCATGGTCATTGAGACTCTAGCAAGGTTGCCAGATCACAGTAAGGGTATCTACCTTAAATTTTCATAGCAAGTCATGACCATTGTACAGGGAAGAAAAAATTCATGACTCTTTCAGTGTTGTATATGAACCACACAGACAATTCCCCACAGGGTCCGAATCTTTTAAGACCATCACGTCTCAAACAGATACCTTCTCATTTCAGGTAACAGCAGATGGAGTATTTCTTAGGAACCTCCCCATCAGTCAAAACACATTGCGTGGGAGTTTGAAAATAGTATCCTGCCTATCTAAGAAGCATAAATGTGAAAGATTACCTTCAGGGAAGCCACTGCTGCAAAGGACACAAAAAAAGAAAACATCATGTGAACTCTGACGAAAGACACACTAGCAGAGAGCTCCACCTCAACAGGATGGCTCAGTGGTACGAAAAGGAAATGGACATGGCCAGACCTATATAGACATGTGAGGGAGGATGACCTCCATGTATGCTGAAAAGAACAGTTCTATGGTCTTTAGTAACAGTGCATATGTATACTCACAGGGTAAAAACACATGTGAAACAAACACTCCTTTATCTGGATTTCACAAAGTAATTCCAAAGGTTAAACAAACTACAGAATCATAAAATATTACCACTTCCAAACTGCAATCTTCTCAGGATACGTTAACAACATTTTGACTTTCGAAGTTAAATTTACTTACAAAGCACTGGCAAGTCTCCTACAGCAAAAGCTCCTTCAATTATTTTTCTGTCAGATAACTCCATACCCGCATGATGATAAGCCACACCATACATTAAAAGATCTGATAATGAAATAATTATATCCGTCACTTGACTAAATTTACTCAAGCAAGTATTCATTCACAGAGCAGAGAAGTAGTAGGTTATATTTACCTCTCAGTTTGGAATCTTTCAATGAATTTGCAGACCTCTGTAATCTATGCAACACACAAAAATATGAATACTTCGAAGTCACAAAACAGATTCACTAATGTAAGTAGAATATACAAAGATGCAAGTATGTTTTTAAAATGCAAAAATAAAGCTTCACTTGAAACTAGATACACAATTACACCACCAAAGATTGTAAGATGTATTCCTTGACATGTATATTTTTTACATACTTTCCCATAATTCTACTGCATTCGTGCTTTTTAAGGATGTTCTTAGTTTTCAACTACATGTTAGACTATCAAAAGGACATAGTCTTAAAATAACTTTTTAAATATACATTCTTTGGATATTTTCAACCACCACCTTTCCCATCTTCAGAAAGGGAACAAACTGACTCTCTGGGGCAGCTGTGGCAGCCTTTCCAGCCCGGTCATCTTTCCAAGTCACGACCTACAATCTAGATGTGCTGTTCACATAAGGCAAAGAAGACCATGTTTGAGGTCCAAAATCAGGAAGTAGCTTCTGCAGCTGCCATGACTATGCAACCCTTAAGTAAAAAATAATTAATATGGGTCAGGGCTGTATTTATTAAAGGTATCTGGTAATGCAAAGACTTCTTATGGCTTAACTTAAATCACGAGTAAGACCACATCCAATTCCACTATTCATATGCTTAATCTTTGCACTACAAGGCCTTATAGGTCCATAGGAATTAACCTTTGTATGTTTAGAAAGCAACTTTTAGAAACAGCTTAATGTTTGTGAAAAGTATCCTAAAAATCTGAGAAGCAAATAAAACTTCCCAAGAAGAATGCCAATTTACCAAAAAGTCTGTCAGCTGTGATGATGATTTAGTTGCAGACACTCCTCTGCTAGAAACTGTATTAGCTCAACAGCTTTCTTCACAGATGTCACAGGTTTACTAAAACACACAAACACTTATTAACAACTCAAATATAAAAATACCTTTGTTTCTGTTCTATACTCAGTAGAAATTTAGCATCTTTTGCAAGAACAGAAGCAGCCTGCTGTACTCCTTTTCTTGTGGCACAAAACTATAAATAAGAAAAGATTTTTTTGAATCAACACTTAAGAAAGAAATAATTTCAAATATGATGAAAAAAAAGCTGTTGTACCACAAGTGCTGGTTTTTGTTCCGAGTATGTTTGTATAATACTAGCTATCTTGTAGTTAAGAGTTAAGTCAAATTTGTATTCTGTCTGATTGTCACTGCAAGGAAAACCAAGAACAATTTTGCGTAGCTTCACTGGTCGTTGATCCTCATCTATTTTCAGACATACAGCAGGCATCTTACTATCCGAAAGCCATTCTGCAATCTTTAAAAAAGAAGAAATAGAATGGAAATGATAAATTTCTGCTTTTAATCATGCTCTTCTCTATCTGCATCACACAATAATTAACTTGGCTTTTGTCACATGTAAACTATTAACACATCTGACATTGCTTTTATCATTAAAATCATAGGTGAAGTTCTGTTTTCTACAGGACCAATATAATTCGGACTGAAATCTCAAGTCTGTTGTGATTTGTACTTAGAGACAAAAATAACAAACAGAAATCTAAAACTGAAGCATGTCCATACTTGGCTGATAGTTCCATATGGTTGTAGGTCATTTGTTACATTAACATCAACCTCACAGCTGTCTTCAGCTGACAGCTTCAAAATGACAACTTTATTATCAATCTGAATTTATAACTCCAGGTAAATTTTATAAAATACAGCTACATTAATTAAAATACAGTTAAAATGTAACTCTTACATCTTCAGCATTCGGGATTGTTGCAGAAACAGCTACAAATCTCAAGGGAGGAACAGTGTCATGATTCTCTAAAAGACGCCAAAGAGAAGACTGAACAGTCTTCATCCGACTGACTACAACTTCTAATGTTGCACCACGGCTTTCATCCTTTATAACATGCACCTAGTAGGAATTTTAAAAGATTTGCAAAATATTTCTCCAGTTACAATCTAGACACGTGTTAAATAAATGTTATATTTTCTAAGTTTCCTTTTATCTTCAAGAACAAAAACAGTGCACATAAAACATTAATTTTCTTACCTCATCAATGAGAAACAGTCGTACAAGCTGGACTATAGAGTTGTCTCTCCACCTTCTAGTCATGCTATCCCATTTTTCCTAGGAGAAAAAAAAAAAACACAACAAAACAACAACAGAAGGTGAAAGATGTTTTAAAGGCCAACATATGCCAGAAGCAGAGTACAGGCAGACATGCCTAAACTTTAATAAATCTTTAAATAAAATCAGTTAAATTAATTCAAGCTGATGTCATGTATGCTTCGTCCGGCACATTATTATATTACTAATTGTTGTTTATATGAACTAATAGTATGCACAGCAGTGTGCAGGCAAGCATAAGGATCATAAAATTACTACTTATTACAAAAAAAAAAAGGAGCAGCCCTAGTAGCATACAATTAGTAGACTACTAATGCCTGCTTATTTTAGGTTTTTGTAAGAATTGGAATTGAAACCTACAGGTGTAGTGATAATAATGTGAGCTTTAAATAAAATCAGTTAAATTAGTTCAAGCTGATGTCATGTATGCTTCGTCCGGCACATTATTATATTACTAATTGTTGTTTATATGAACTAATAGTATGCACAGCAGTGTGCAGGCAAGCATAAGGATCATAAAATTACTACTTATTACAAAAAAAAAAAGGAGCAGCCCTAGTAGCATACAATTAGTAGACTACTAATGCCTGCTTATTTTAGGTTTTTGTAAGAATTGGAATTGAAACCTACAGGTGTAGTGATAATAATGTGAGCATGATGTATTTCAAATAAATCATCCATCACTGTATCTCCTGTCAGTTCCTTGCAGCTGAGTCCTATAGGTCCAAATTTTTCTTTCCAATCATCAAAACGTTGACTGCATAGAGCTTTTATTGGAGCCACTAAAAATAACACAAAATAATCGGAGTTATATCATGAAAACCAAATCTTCAACTGTATTGCTAAAGATGCTAAATGCATACATTTTTAAGATGTCTTCTTGAATTTAATTTCCCTAATTTTCAGCTTTGCTCCCAAAACCATAAAATTTGTAACTGGTATTATTATACTTATTACCCCATTCCACGTGCACAGATCAATGTTGAGCTTTGGGCCCCAGTTCTTCCCTATCAGCAATCAGAAACAGAAACCTTTAATTAAGGTTATTTATGCCCTCTCTTAATCCTGATTTTTTCCTCAATCCCACATGGAAACAATCATTCAGCTATCAAATATTTTCTCACAGATCGAAGAAACCATAGGAAATACATCCTTTCTATGAATTTGTATGAAAGATCATACAAATTCCAGTTCAGAATGATTTGAGCACTCTGTATTCAGAAAAAAAAGGGGTTATAAATGAGAAACCATCCATGAGCAAGAGATAGAATACCAGAAGAGATCAAAATCTATCTAAACCCAAATGTACAGTTAAGTGTAGTCAGGGTAATGCCGAGCAGCTAACACAGCAGGTAGCAGCTAACACAGCGGGTAGCAGTTCTGATGCTGGTCCTCATGAACAGACTCCTAAAACAATGTTTCTTCATAATTTTTTTTTCCTGAGGATACATACTATTCTTTAGCAGATGGAGGTTGATTTCTAGAAATCAGAAGTAATTCTCTACAAGGACTAATAGTAGCAACACATGTAAGTCTATACTGCATGGGTAATCTATATGGAAAATGCTGTGATTTAAGTGAAAGAAGAAGTGATCTACACATGATCCGAAAACAGCAAATAGATCTTGCAGTGATTACATTCTAGGCTAGAGCCACTGAAATATGAACCATTTCTGCGTATCAGCTGACAAGTGATCCCTAAAATGAAGAGATTTAAAGAACCAGTTTCTGCTTCGCAAAGGAGCATAAAATCTCCTAAGTGTATCAGTGGCCTATAAAGCAGGGGAAATCACTAGCTCCAGAATGTTGATCAAGCTACCAGCAAGTAACTCGCAAAATCGCCAAAGTAATAATCTTTTGCTATGCAAGAATGCAAGCAGCTAGTGATCGCTCCTAGAACTTCAGTCACCAATCCTTAGCATGTGTTAAAGCTACTGGGAAGCAACTCTAATTTACACAACTAGTGCAAGCTAATTAACATACATTGAGCCACTGACGAACCAGGTACCAGAGCACGCTCCAGCAGTACATAATCTGATTAACATTCATAATCTGTTCCAACATTCGGAAAACTGACACGTCTCCTTCTCCATCATCATTGAACCTGGAAAGGTCAGCAGATCTAATTCCACCAGCAGGTAACTGCTTCCTTACTGAAAGTTCCAACCAGCCAATTTGTATCAATTCTACCACGGCAATCAAAAACATTACAGTACACTGAAATGCTCCACCTTGATCCACTGACAGAGAAACTATAATACATGCCTGTTTATAAAAGATCTGTTTACAATACACAGTAAATGCTAAATCAACACTAGCTTTATTGTAAGAATATGAACACACTGGAATTTAAAAAAAAAATTAGGCTGAAACTTTTGTAAATATAAAGATTAACCATTAATATACAAATATATCACTGTGTGAATTAATTAAAACTGGGACAAAACCACCAATTTAATCTGATTTACATGATATGAACTCAATTCTCCAGGAAGGAAAGAAAAGTGTAATTGTTGTGACTATCTTCTACATAGGAACTAATGAAAATATTTGATCAATTAAACTCATGAAGACCACAGCTCTGTTGCTTTTGAACTAGTAGACAGAAAGCAACAGTTAGCATGAAACCTTGCCAGGCAAGTGAATATTGGAAAATCTGATCCTCATCTCAGAGCAACAGAGAGGCATACAAAAGACACTGCATGATTTCTGACTCCGCCACTAAGAATTTGTTTTAGTTTGCTTTGCTTCCTTCTTCCCTTTTCATGTACATCTTGCCTTCTTAGAGGGCAAACTCTTCACAAGATTTTTTTATTTTTATAGGCAATGCTGAACACTACAATTACACAATGCTGTTAAATACTAATAATAGTTACAACGGTATCACAAATAAACAAACCCTAAAAGAAACAACTTTTTAAAGAATGAGGTAGGTCACAATTTCTTAACATATTTCAGTATTATTAAAGCACTCACTCCAGATCTCCACATTTACAGAATGACATTTTCTACTGCTGTCACCAAAATGTTTAAAGCTGCATAATACTTACTGTAAACAACTTTAATATTTAACCAAGGCAGTGGGGCTTCCATGAGTAATCTGGTAATAGCTAGCTCGAACATTACAGTTTTTCCAGAGCCAGTCGGAGCACAAATCACAAAATTCCTATCTGTATAAAGAAGCTAGGAAAGAATTGCAAAGTAGTAAATGTAACACAGCTATCCATTGTACCTATTCAAACATTCCAAAAGCATTGTCTACAGGAAAACGACACAAGGAAATTATTATTACATTGATATATGTAGTCCTCTAAAAAATTTTGTATTAGATGTGAACTTAAGTTACAGCAAAATAAAGAACATCATCTGCTACACATCTGCCACAGAAACATACACGAGATAATGTTCATCTAAGGTTATTATGTAATGAAGTCTACCATTCTGCAACAAACAAAAAAACCAGTATCTAGCCTTAGATTACATTAATACAGAATCACTGCCTATGTCCCACTGCAACCATACGTAGGCTCATCAGAAAGAGGTATTTTGTGCTCAAATTCAAAGTGCAATTTGTTTTCCTTCTGTAATTCAGTCTGCATTCAAAATTCCAACATTGTTGAATATCTATCATTTTAAAAGAATGTTAAGTTTTCAGTAATGATGAAAGTAGGTTTTGTATGACTATGCTCCTTCCTTCCCCCACATTCCATCCTGCACCATTTCAGAAGCCAGGTACGTCCATGTCAGGTTCCCTCATTTTCCTCTGACCAGGTTGACTCTACCCTCCTTCCTCCTCCTCCACAGTGTCACTCACCCACCCTCCCTCCATGCAGCACGTTCTGTGCAGCTTCATTTCCTTCCTTCCCTCCCAACTCCTCATGGATTTTGCTATTCTCATTCTTTTTTCCTTTCCTTCTAGCTGTTAATGTTCTAAAACTATTCTGTAACTGTTAGGAGCTCACAAGGATGAATGGGAATCACCTAGCACTTGATTTATAAATAACTGTAGCAATGACTGACGCTGACAGTACTGCTGAACAGTTGCAGGAATTACCTGTGTTCTTCATCTACCATTTCCAGTTTTCCAATGCTCACAAAAATCAATGAAGTATGAATGCTGTACGAATACAAAATTTTCCCTGATATTTGTTAAATAATCCTTTGTAACACTCACTGTGAATCCACCAGAGAAATTCTACCAAGTTGAATACTTACAACCTATTTCTTGGAACCAGAGAGTTGCTACCAAGTTGAACCTTGCAAGCTTAACCAATTAAAAAAAAAAAAAATACAAGACCATTATCTTTTTAATATGCTGATTTCTCTTAATTTTTAACAATAAGTCATGTCTTATACATGAGTGATAAGCAAACCTTGTCCTTGCTGGTACTTTACAAACAAGTTTATATTTAGGAGTACTAATACATGAGCCATTTAAAAAAAAATTTGTTTTTTTTTAAAAACTATGGCTTTTTTTTTAGCTGTGGTTTTCCATTATTCTAGGAAAAGAGTCACACAAGATTATTTTACAGGCCAATACGATGTATAACCCTTATCAGAAAATAAACACAATTTGGCAGTAAGGAAAAATACCCCAAATCTATGCATAAAACTAAAAATGTAAGGAAAAAAGCAAAAATACAGCTGCCCATATAATTTAAATACAAGATTATTCTGTTCATATAAGCACCGTTTTAAAAATCTTCTCTTCATAAAACTTTACTTAGTGGGTAAGAAATTCAAACAAAAATATTTGCAACATCAAAAGTAGCTTAAAAAACATGCTTAGAAATGTTTGTGAATGACACTGGTATTTCCCCTAGAGTTGAATAAATATTTCAAATGCTCTGTTGAAGACTCTGATGGAACCTGTATCTCCTCTCTGCAATACCTATAATACCATCTTTCTCAAATCGGTTGCTTTCAAAAGAAGTTTCAGGTTTTAAAGAAAGAGCATAGCTGATAAAAAGGGCATGGACAAACATCACTTCTCCAAAGGGACAGCCTTCTCTAAACCTCTGCTTTTCTTAATCTTCCTGTGAAAATCATTAAAAAAATATTACTAATCTGTATGCATAAATACACATACAATTCACATCTTCACACAAATGTATTTAAAACTGAGAAAAACATTTTTAAAAGTACTTCTGGTCTCTTCTCCCAGCTAAGCACAACCCTGCTCAACTATTCCAGGAAAAGGTTCTAAATATATTACAGTTTTCTAACCCCTTTTAAGTTCTGAATATCAAAGTATCATTTAAATTTACCTACAAAGTACTTCCTGCAGCTGCAGCCAATGCTTCATACTTACATCATCCAAAGCTTTTGACTGTGCATAGTTAAAATATGGGAACTCCTTAAAAATACTTCTAAATTGGGTTGCTTGACAGCATTAAGGAATTGAAAACAATAGAGTGAAAATTATAAATTTTATTTTAAAACTAAACTGCATCTCTTTCTTGTAATTTAAATGCAAACATAAACCAACAATCTTTCACTCATACAGGCTTGTAAAAAATTATCAAAAAGTAACTTATTAAATGATTTAGTAACTTTATTTAGATTCTTGGTGTGCCATATATTCCACTTCACCAAAAAACCCACTACCTATTTGAGCGGTCTCAGGATTATACCAATAATCAAGAACCTCCTCCCTGGCGTAGGCCTTCCTGGAATGGCGTACAGTTATGGAATGTGAAACTGCAAGGGACAAAAGCTTTATTCTACACTGCAAACCAGCTACAAGAGCAAGCAGAGCGCTGCTGTTAGCACATCTAAAGTGGCAATGGTCACATTTTATTCGTAATAAAACACATATTAATTAGCATAATATTGTATGTCCAGTCATAACAGTAGCAAAGAAATTCACCTACAATCTCTCAGTGCTGACAGTGGTTTTAAAGATATTTTCAATTGCTAATATTGTGTATTCTTCAGACAACAACATTCTTATCTAAAATGTGAGTAAGAGGAAAGAGGATTGTTACATTACAAATCCAAATGAGTGAGTTGATCCTTGTCTGGACTTGCATTGAAGCCACACCAGCAGACTAACTGTAACCATCCGATCAGGCTGAGGATGCACACACAGTCAGACATAACACCAACAGTAACAAGAACAATGAACTGCTGGGGCCTCAGATTGATGTTACATTAAAAGACTAAGTAAAAAGGAAAAGAAAAAGGAGTAAAACAAGAAATAAAAGTAGTTAAATATAAACATTAAAAAATGGGTAAAGATAAGCAAGTAATATTAAAGAAAATAAGGTGTTTTTTTTTTTTAAAGACTTCTCTAAAATTACCTCTCTAAATAAGTGATCTATTTTCAAAATGCAGAACATTGACTCTATCTGTAATTGGCAACATCAGTTCAACCGAGTCCTTACTCATTCTGGAAATTATGACACTTCTTAAATTTATTCACATGAATTTAAGTTGCCTAAATTTGGACATTTCCTCTTCCTGATATTTAACCTGCCATTTGAAAGGATACTAGAAACAAAATATTGAAAAGACAGTGTAAAAAAAGCAAAAAAAATTTTGACAGATATAGATGGATGGTTAATTATGTTATGGGTTCAAGGCAAGGGCAAGAGGGAAAATTATTGTAAAATCTGCTTAAAGAATGGAAATACACTGTATGCACACTACAACATAAATACAGACCTATAAGGAATATAAGAAGTTTATTTTCTCCTAAGCAAATGGGACAAAAAGTAAGATTCAGTTTTCCTAATAAGCCTAAACACTAATTCACTTTTCCTTTATTTAAAGCATATGAGGATATATGTGTGTATGTGCCTTTGCATATAAACTCTGGCCTCAAATATATATTATGCAAACTAAAAATTTTACATTTTAAAAATAAACAGTTTTGAGGATAAAATTTGAATGTTTGAAATAAGAATAAATTTGCTTAGCAATGAATGATCTATAAGTTGTCCTATTTTCATTCTAGCTTTGGAAGTCCAAAGGGTAAACACCTATTCATCATTTGATTTCCAGCATTACATTACAAATCAAAACTATTACAGTGTAATACATGAGTTCCTATGGCTACAAATTAAACACTATTATTTTGTAAATGTAGAAGTATTGTAATAAAAGCAATAAATCAGATACAGCAAATACAAGGATACGTATTTCTGTAACAGCCCTCAAAATTTCCAGTTTTCTTCCCGCAGTTCCTAAAGAAATAAAAGTAGTAAATTTATAAAACCAGGTTTGTTTTCAACCATGAAAAATATCTTCCTGACCCCAAGCTATGTGTTCTGTGAGGAGCTGCAAGGCTATAACAAGGTCCAAGCGATACAGAAGGAGCTGACAGGATAGGGAGGTCACAAGCTCATCATTTGAAAGGACCATCTTGGTGGCCCTTTGCTGAACTCACTCCAGTTTAAGGATGTCTTGCCTGTACCAGAGGCTCAAAATTTGATGCAGTATCTAGACGTGGTCTCAAAACTGCCAAGAAGAAGGGGATAATCACTTCCCTCAACTTCTGGGCTTTGCTCCTGTTAACAAAGCCCAGGATGCTGTTGGCCTTCGTTACTGCTGGGGCACATTGCTTGCTCATGTTCAGCGAGCCGTTCGCCAGACCCCAGGCACTTTTCTGCAGAGCTGCCCCCAGTAAGTCCATCCCAGGGGAACCCCAGGGGTTCTTCTCTTTCCCTGGGGCAGGACTTTGCATTCATCCCAACTGAATTTCATGAGATCCCTCCTCCAAGACAGACCCCTGCAGTACTCCACTTGTGGCAGGCACGTGGGCAGAGTGTGACCCATTAACCACCACCCTCTGAGCCTGACCATCCAACCATTTTTTTACCCATGCAGTTGTCCATCCATTCCTAATATCCTAACTTGGATACAAGAATGTTGTGGAAGACAGTGTTTCTCAACCATTCTATGATTCTACGAAAAGCCTTGCTGAAGTCAATGACATCCACTGCTCTCCCCTCATCCATAAATCCAGTCACTGATGCTCAGAAGGCAATCAGACAGGAATCATGTTTTCCATTCCTGACCAGCCTCCAAATCCCATCTTAAGCCACAGCTCTGCCCTACAATTTTCTGCTAGAACTATTTTTCTATTCCATATTTCTGTAGCAGTTAGCCAGGTACACAAGGTACATTCTACAGATGCAATGAATCCCTGTCCCAAAAGCTTAAAACCTAGACACAAACCACACATATTTAAAAACTATTAAAAAACAATTTATAAAACAAGTATTTTATCATTTCATCAAAATTCTCACCACTTTCCTCCATTTTCCAGATTTTTCCTATTTAAAATCTATTTCTATAAAGATACAAGTATGAGCCACATCACAAATAAACATTCCATTTTCAGTTTCTGGTTTCAGATGAAGATGAGACTATTTACCACATGAAGGGACGAGGCTGCTCTTTTTCAAGTTGTTTAGGGGACTGATTTGAAGTGACATTTTCAAAAAGGTTTACATGACTTAGCACTTTTGAAAACACGACTCTTCTTCACAAATTGTTTACCCAGCTCATATTAAACAACAATGCAATTAAGTTCCATAGAATTGCAATATCTTCTATCAAGTTTAGCCAATTATTTCACCTTGAGGTGGTGGAAAAATGTTCTTCGCTCTACCTCAGATCATGGATATCCATTATTATCATATACCAAAGACAGACAGTGAACTATTTTTCTTGAAATAGAGTAATAATAATTACCTGTCATATCCAGAATCTCTGAAGCATTAGAAAATGATTTCATTTTAATTCCATTTTTAGATGCAATGTCCCCATCATTTACCCTATGCAGAGTAAAATCTGAGTCTTTAGTTATTGGAGCATGATGATTATTTCTCCATAAACCTTCTTTTCTCACTTCTTTCATGTTTTCACTTGTATTTAAGTAAGTATCAATTTCTTTCACATCCACAGAACTATCTTTAGGTTCTGTATTTTTATACATATAACCAGACATTCAAAATAAGCTGCAAAAGATCCAGGATTTTTATTAGTTGGTTCTAATGTTATACAGTTTCTCTAATATTTGAAAAATATGTATGTTTGTATTAGAAGCAGAACTAGTAAGAAAAGTTTGTATCTAATTTTATTTGAGCTGGCACTCTTCTACCTGAAGAAAACACGTTTCAAGGTACATTTTAACTTTACTTTCATTCCAGAAAGAACCCGAAATAAACCACCTGTCCAGATGGGCTCTGAATCCCAACAGCAAATTAACTGTCGATCTCTGCCTAATTAAAAACAATAGAGACATACAGGTTCTGAGGAATGAGAAGAGCTGGGCATAGAAGAGGAGCTTATCTGTAAAACCCCTCCTCCCAGGCAGCACTGAAATCATGTCGAGAACTGCTCAAGGTATTCCTGGCTGGCTGAACTCTGCTCTGAAAAGCAAGTGATCTTAGCCTTCTTGCTCGTTGCCACATGGATAAAGAACTAAATATTTTAAAAAACTTTTGTCATCTAACGATTTCTTTAAAATTAGAATCATAGAATAGTTTGGGTTGGAAGGGACCTCTAAAGGTCATCTAGTCCAACCCCCCTGCCATGGGCAGGGACATCTTCAACTAGATCAGGTTGCTCAGAGCCCTGTCCAACCTGACCTGGAATGTTTCTAGGGATGGGGCATCCACCACCTCTCTGGGCAACCTGTGCCAGTGCTTCACCACCCTCAGCGTAAAAAATTAAAGCAACAAATCTCATCCTTATTTTTCTCATAAAAGAGGCTGAGCTCAGGACACATTTAATTACAGTACTAAAATACTGCCAAAAGGAAACATCTTTTTTCCTTATACTGAAAAGAATCAGTGTCTGGAGCCCTGTTAAAGTACCTTCAATTGAAGGATCCCAAACTCTGCGTTTAACAAATGTATCTAAAATAGTAATATCTCTGACAGTTGATAAATTATCAGAATTGACTAGACACGTACCTTTTTCTTAATGTTGAATGGACACTCTCATCATCACTGTTTTCTTTCTGTAAAATTACTCCGTATTTTATTTTGCGAAAAATTTGCACCAGGTTGCTGAGAAACCCCTGTTCCTGATTTAGATTTATCTTGGTCAGAAGAGAGAAACCATGGAACCATTTTCAGACTTTCATGCTGAAAGCTAATTTTCTCTCTTTCTCCTACACTTAATTGGAGCACTTCTTTTTCAGAGGCTATGCCAAAATGAACAGGTGCTGGTGATTTATCATTTACTTCCTCAGTGTTACTCTTACATTGTTGTATAAAATTCCGGTGCCTTCTCCCTCCTACAAAAACAATAAATTATTATTTCTATTAATACTCGTATTCCTATTCGTAGTAATTTTATTAAATATTTTCCACACAGAATAAGCCAAATTCACGTATATTATATGAACCGATATTTCTACCTTATTGCAAGAACTTTAGTGTATATTTTATGACTCATGCTGATGAATGCAATCATCTGTGGTCAATTAAAAAGCTGTAAAAATAGGGTCCCTTTCTATGCTTCCTATACAAAGTAACGGAGCAAAACTATGCCTCAGAACTACAAAATAGTTTGTAAGATAGAAACTCTTCACCCTGTCCCACAATAAAGACAGTCTTTTAAAAAAATTACACAATGACCAAGCTTGAAGTTCCTACTACAAACAGCTGTGAGATAAACCCTGCAATCTCAACAGTCAAAATTCGTAATGATGTCAATGACAGGCTGGTTTCATAGTCATCTTGGTTAATTATCACATTTTGTAGGGTTATTTCTCGGTAGCACCGGTGTCCTGATCTGGCTGACCATACAAGCACTGCCGTCAGCAAAAGAAAGGCAAGAGCAGAAATAAGCAATTGAATGCAACAAGATCACAGAACGGCTCTATTCCACAGCCTATTAATTTCAGCGTTATCCATCTAGAAACTTAAAGTTACAATGGCCTGTTTGTGACATAACCCCAACAGTTCTAATTCTACAAACACCAGAAAGTTTATTCGAATGAGTAGTTCTTAATGGAATTGCCCTTGCGTAAAGTAGGAAAAAAACCCTTCTGTCTTAGCAATACAACTCCTCAATAGAGAATATCATAAATCAGCACAGCACCTAAGAAATGCAGAAATCTACTTGACGGAGATAAAGCAAGCGAATTCTTTAAAATAAATTTCCTTAAGGTGATCGTGAACATCTAGATGGCAGGAATACTCCACTTAGCAGCAATCAATGGCCAAATTCAAATTTGGCCTCCTGAATAGCAATTTGAAAAAAGCCCCAAAAGGGAAGAAGAAAGTTAGGTTGATATAAACTCTCTGTTCCTTGGGAGACAGGTCATCAGATCCATGTGTTGCATTATGCTCTCACAGCTGCTTCCCACTGTGTTATGATGCTTCATGGAACAATGTGGAGTAGCTGAAATTTTGATCATACTTCTTACCTTGCCCACTTCTGCACAGTAAACTTGTAGCCTGTATATGCCCAAAGAGGACTGCTAATACTCCAAACATACGTTAAGACCATCACTCTCTACTAAAATACATTCTTTGTCTATATTTGCATACCTAGAATATTTCGTATTTCACAGCACTAAAAGAGAGCGGAGGAATTATCTGTCAAGCTAATTATTTGTTAAGCCATTCAAAATGAATGTCAAATATTATGGTTTAGTGGGACTTGCCACTGTTAACAGTTTGACTCGATGATCTTAAAGGTCTTTTCCAACCTAAATGTTTCTATGATTCTATTCTATGATATTTACCCATATGAGCGTTGGCTGTGTTTTTTTCCAGTTCCCTCTGTAACTCCTCCGCAGCTGGAATTTCAGCAATAGCTGGAGCAGGTGCAATACACCAAATCTTACGCTCTTCATTTTCTAGATACCTATTTTTAACACACAAATGTAGGGTAAAAGCATTCTTTAAGCACTCTCCGCAACATCTAGCTTAAAATCACTAATCATAAACAACCTACTGTTTCTCCTGCTAAAAAATATTTTTAATTCATGTGATTTTTAATCACAGAAAATTTAAGAGACAAAACTTCTGCTAACCTGTATTTCTCATAGCCCTAAGATACAGGGCTGCATCATTCAAACTTCAATGTGCTTGGAAAAACATTTCAAAGTATGGGTTATGAACCTGGAAATTTCTAGCCCCACATTTCTACTGGTAGACAGAAAAGGGAGTTAAAAAATAAGATATCTGCTGCAAAATGATTCAGAGTGTGGAAAAATTTGGAAAACAATTATATATATTTAACAATAAAGATTTACCTTTGTCTTGTATCGGGTCTTTCATAAAATAAATTATCCAACAAAAGGACCACGTCTGCAGAGTTGAACATTTTTAGATCAAATGTGAAGTCTCTTAATCTGCAAAAGGCAGCACAAGGAACTGTGAAACTGAAATTACTAGAATTGAACCTGTACAAGCAACAGAAAGCTTTAAGTGCCAATACTTAATTTATAGACTTTTAATTTTAGAGCTCTTGCCTGTATCCTTAATTCTTCTTCAAAAGGAGAATCTCTCTCCTGATAAAATATGGTTCCTATTACTTATGACCAAAAAAATCCTGCAGGACAGCACTTTAAACAACCTTTACATTACCATGTCAAGAGGGAAAAAGTAGGTAAGAGTGAAGATCCAGATAAAGTTTATGTTAAATTATTTAATTTCTAAGACTAATGCTAAGATTCTTTCATGCAGACTATGTATTTTTTCTCCAGATTGTTTCTGTTCTGATGGAAAAATATGATCTGTCTTACGATCAGATTCTGTCAATTTTTACAAAATAAAATTATTCTATTATCTAAAAAAACCCAACAACTATTCTACTTTAGAAGCAAATCAGATTTTTTTTTTTAACCTACATGAAAATTGGTTACCTGGATAACTGGAGTATGGGCCCAACTCCTTCATGCTGTTAACTGCTTTCTTCTGAAACATCAAAACCAGAGATTATTTCTAAATTATTTATCATATACACCAGTCTTAAAAATACTCCAGTTAATGTAAATGTTTTTCATTTAAGCACCAACTCTAGGCATTAGACACTTTATGTGTTTGAAAAAAGTTCTCACTAAAAGAATACCACAGAAAGGATTTTTTGAGTCAAAAATCTTAGAGTCACTGAAACAAATGGTAAAATACCAAATCAACTTCAACAGAGTTTATAAAACTCAATAAAGGCCAAATCTTGTGATAAAATAACAAAGCAGAGCTATCTTCTTTACCTACAGAGATAAACCAAAGGCAACACTTCTTTTGTATTTCAGCATCTCATTAGTAACATATGAAAAAAATCTTTTAGAGTGCTTTGCAAATAGGATTCAGGTTTACTTAATTACTGTATACTGTCAGCTGTGATTCAAAAATTTTAAAAATATTTTTCTTCCACAGAAGCTGTAAAACTTCAAATATTCCAGAGAAATGTTTCAAATTTAAAACAGAAAACATTTCACAATACCGGCAGAATATAGAGCATGTAATCAAAACTGTCTGTGAACACAGTGAAGAAGATAGGTTTTAGAACTTCAAACAAGAAATCTGTCAATGCTCCTTTTACACTCCTTTTCAGAGTAAGTCTGCAACACCACTTCTACCAATTTCTGCTACTTCCCCACTGCCAGGTTTTACCACTTTTTCCTTAACACTAATAAATCTAGAATTTAGAAATCACACTAATGAATCTGACAAAGCTGGTTAATTTTGCCACCATGCTTTCACATGCTTGTAATGGCAGTAATCTAAAGCAGGAGTTGTCAGGCTTGGGTATCAGTAGTGGCAGCAGAAAGCATGTCAGGAGTACTAGCAAGTTGGTGCTAGTCAAGTAGTGTTTATCTGCGTTAAGTGCTTATCCAATGGAATAACCATCACTCCATCAACTCCAAGGAGCTGCAAACACTGCACACCAGTATGAAATGGTTTTCATACCTCAGGTGGGGAATCGCCAATCTATGATTATGCAACTTCCATTTAAATAATTTGGATTTATGATTCCCATCCTTGAGCAGTCTTTGTTATACACAATATTTAATCTCCTGGGCCCTTTAGGCCCCCGCTCTCTAGATGTCATTTATTCTTTTACTGGCTCCATTAATTCCAATTGCTTGATAATGTAAATAAAAATGACAGGAGATGTCACGGTCATTCTGAGAGACGGGAAAACCCTGGCACAACACTCCTTTATGCAGTTCTGCATTCATCTACCTGCTCACTGGCTGTCAGCTGGGACATCCGCCTCAAAATCCCCAACTAAGAAATAGTGAAAAGTCTCTCAACCTTTTAAAGGAAGAAAAAAGAAAAAAAAAAAAGAAAAAAAAAGGGGCAAAACATGTCTCCAAGATGAACAGGCATCAAAGGGTCTTTTCCATACTCAGTGCTGTTTGACAGCACAGGAAAAATGCATATTCAAGATGGCAAAATGAGGGAGTAGGTGTTTGCAGGAGCAGCACAGACCATTGATTCACACTTACAAAGAGAAGTTTGCCAACTCCTGTAAGCAAGGATCTCTCATGTATCTGCTTTAAGAAACAGCTCACTACAGACTTACTACAAACACTGCAGGCCAAAAGGTGGCTTGCTCAGTTTTGAAGCCCCTTTGCTTTTCACCTCCCTCCTAAAACCAAATCCTTTCCTCAGACCTATGTATTTCACCTCAGTGCTCTCTCCAGGGGGCCCAAAGTGAAGGTCACAACCTTCAGGGGTGCCAACGCAAACAAACTGCAACTGCTCGCTCCCAGCTGTAGACCAGGTGCCCTAAAGGGGCAGAGGGCATCCCCACCTCACAGCGCTCCTTCCCCGTTTCTGAGAGCCCCTAAGGCCCCCCTCACAGCCAGGCTCCCTCTCCCGCCCTCCTCCCTCGACTGAGGAAGGAGAACCTGACGGAGTCGCTCCCACCTCACCAACAGCGCCTCCCGCCACCATCGCGCAAAATGGCGGCAACGGAGGGGCCAAGGCAGTGCCACAGCGCCCCGGCAGCGCCGCGCGAACAGTGCTCCTCAGCCGGGCCGGCCGAGCGGGAAGCGGAGATTGCCACCCGCTCCTTTCCTAGCACCGCCCCAGGGTATGCCGCCCGGCTCCGGCTTTCTTTCGCCGCGGCGGGGTCTGCGGGCTCCGGGTGGCACGACGTGGAGGGCGCGGGGCCCGCTCGGCGGCGGCTGCCTTTCTTCTGAGGCGCGGCCCGGCCGTAACACCTCACAGACCACCTACCCTCACAGATCCTGAAACCGATGGGAAAGGAAGGAGCTAAATTCCCCTTAAAACGGTAAAAAAGAATGTGGAGGGACTCCACTGGTGCCAGATTTAGAGCTTGTCCAAACATGGATTTATCGGGAATTACTCTCTCTGTTGAAAAGTCCTTACTCACTTTTACCCTGGTACAAATTAGAAAAGGCAGCTGATTCCTGCACCATATGACTCTCTTGTCAAAAGGACTCCTACAGGAAGAAATAAATATACTGAAAATACTGATCCTTAAAATACTTTCTAGTGGATTTCTGAAAATCATTCATAATATTTTTTTTCTTGCTGCTGCTGAACTAGAGCAAGAAAGCTGCCTCAAACAATTTATTAAGAATCGAAACAGTATCACGTAAAGTATTTGTAAAATGCAGAAGTAGGTTGCTATTTTTTTTTTCCCACAGAAATACTGCAACTTATAATTCTGGACTTGCCATTAGAGCATAGCTTTTGAACTAGTAAATTTAAAATAAATTGCAGAACTGTCTCAGAAAGACTAAATTTTAAGCTGGTTCAAAGCTTCATGCCATTCAACAAATACTATAGATGCAGCTACTGTAAATATGTATTTCCTCATACATAAATAGATGAAAAGGAGACAGAAAATTTTCTCAAATATTGATTGATTTTAACATAAATAATTTTTATTTAATCAACTTTTTTGTTTCTCTTTCTTGAAAATATTGATTAATTTTTAACTTTACATTTCAAATTCTTAGACATTGTATGTTTACATAATGCAAGTGTATTCTCTCAGACTGCAAGCCCAGGTCAATTAAAAGCATGCAATAAAGGTTATGCTCATTTTTACAATTCTGTGTCTTTGAGGTCTTTCCTTTATTATTATTATTACCTTAAAAAGACTCGCGTCAGAACTGTGTCGTATTACAATATTCCAAAATTTATACCACATGTTTAGATGCTTTAATCCACCTCCCCATCTAATTACTGGGCAGACAGCCAAGGGTAAGAATCACTTCATTCCTGCTTCCAACATGACAGGATCTTGGCCAGCACAGAATAATAAAAGATTTTATGATAAAGAGCTTAGAATACAATCAGGATTACTAATGAACCCATTGTCTGAAATTAAATTCTGAAGCCACCAATATTATTCAGTAATTTGAAAAAAAAGTGGGGAAATGTTTGTGCTTATAAGCATACAATAAGCATTCATTTTGTGCTTGTAATAAATTCTGAAACCAGAAAGCATTTTTACTTCTGACTATTAGAGAATGCCTTCTTTTATTCTGGCCTCAGGCAAGTTTCCATCTTAGTTCACAACATCTGCTTTTAGCTGACCAGACTTTAAAGCGGTAATACGAACAGTTCATTTTTTAAAGCTATTTTTTCTTCGATTCCCTTCCCTAGGTGACATCTCCCTCAACACACACACAAATCACATAAAATATATAGTAAAGCAGCCTCTCAACTGCTCTGAGACAGTTTAATTTTTGATTTTCCCCAAGCCTAACATCTGGTCCGCCTTATGTTTTGAGTCTTTCCAGCTCGTGGAGATCACATACTAAGTCATAAACCTGCACGTTCTGGAGCAATGCAACGAGAAAATCATGAACACCAGACATTGGTCAGTGATCCATATGATAACAGAATAATACTCATACTTAGTAAATACAAAGCTGTTAGAAGATTCGGTTTTCTCCAGAACTTACAAATTGAACAAATTAGCTACAAACAAATTAAATGCAGAAAAGTATCAAGACATAAGTGGGCTGACAATCATTGGTGTCTTCTTCAGTTTCCTTTGGTTGGCTTTATCCACAATTTCAGAGACGTGACGAAACCATTTGTCTCTAAGTGCCCTACCTCGTACTAGAAATCACTGTGAAGTATTAGAAGGTCTTAAAATCACAGGCGACCCCTGAACTGTATGATTGTTACCGTATGCTTGAAATGGTTGCAATGATGCATTTATTAAAGAAATTATAAGATTCAAGAATTAAAAATATTTGCAGCTGTAACCTTTTCCAGTCAAAACTGGGAAATAAAAATACAGCAAAAACTAGGTTGCTTAGATGAGAAAAAGAAAAAGGGAGTTTCTTCCATTTTATCCTGTTGGCTAGCATTTACAAATGTGGGCCTGATGTTGCACCACCCTCTGAACTGTATGATTGTTACCGTATGCTTAAAATGGTTGCAATGATGCATTTATTAAAGAAATTGTAAGATTCAAGAATTAAAAATATTTGCAGCTGTAACCTTTTCCAGTCAAAACTGGGAAATAAAAATACAGCAAAAACTAGGTTGCTTAGATGAGAAAAAGAAAAAGGGAGTTTCTTCCATTTTATCCTGTTGGCTAGCATTTACAAATGTGGGCCTGATGTTGCACCACCCTTGCAAAAACTTAAAACAGGTGAATAACTTGATTTGTGGCAGCTGAAATTACTCATGTGCATAAGCGTTTGCAAGATTGGGTCTTAAGAGAGCTAAACGCAGCTCCCGCTGGGACCTGGCAATACTGCTCTGCATGTCCGCTGGAGGGGATCTCCTAGACCTGATACAAGGCACTGCTCCCCAGGGCTGCAGCAAGCAGCCTGCTCTTGCCGTGCCCCTAACGCATGCTTCCCCAGGAAGTTTAGCTCTTGAACTTTGGTTTTCATGTGGCTGAAATAAAATATATTTAACACTTCCCCCCCCCCGTGAGGTGGGGAAACTGTTCTTTTCTGTACTTTTTTTACCTTTGTTTCCTTTTTCAGTTTCTTACCCATACATTTTTTCTTTTAAGAGATTTAACTCCTCTCACCGAATCCCTCAAGCATAGGCTAACCACCAAGGACCATTTTCATTATGTATAGTATTAGCATCTTACTTCAAATTAACAAAATGAGCACATTTCACATTCACAACTCCACCCTGAACAAATCTCATCATGTACAAACACATTATTTTATGTCACAGACTATTTAGAGACATTAGCAATTTTGCACATAGACAAAGGAGATACTATATTATTGAGTATAGCTTTTACAATTCACATGGCTGATAGTTTTTAATTTTTGTATATTTAAATCATAGGCTCAGTTGATAAAATGAGACATACACAGAAGGAATGAAAATGAGATTAATGCTGTGGTGATACTTGCTCCTTTGGAGTGTACCTCCTAGGAGGCAAGTCATTGCTGCTTCCCTTAAAAGTAAAACATAAAGAATGTCTCACTGATACGGTGTCCATGGAGTCTGCTTTTGAATAAATGACAAATAAACCTGAAAGTTATATCTGCAACCACTGTTTTGGAAAATAACTAACTTGGCTATTTTCATCTTGTCAGTTCCAACCATGTACTTTTTTAAAGGGAGGAAGGGAATGGATGTTTTTTAAGCTAGAGCTATTCTGTTGAAGTCAGATCTCAATAGAAGCATAAGGTACAACAAAATGCTCTTATTTTATAAGCTTTTTGCTCTAACTTATTACGAATCAATGCTATTTACTACTATATAATGGCTAACATCTGGACTCCAGATCCTCTGATAGTTCATTCACTTTGACAAGATTTCCTGTCAGCATAATTTCTTGCTTTGGATTGGAAACTATAATTCTATCATTGAGAAAAATGAGTCAGAACCCCCTGAAAAGGAATACATTCGTAGATTTCTTCTTTTTATTAGATAAGCGTGTTATAAAATCTACAGATTTTTCCTAGAATAATTTTCTCATTTGTAAAAAATATAAACAGTTTTAATAAAAATTAATGTTATTAATAGTCCCAGTTCCGCAGTGAGCTTTGTGCAGGAACAGGGAACTTAAGTGATAATGTTTTCTTGTTGCAGTGTGAGCCTATTTATCTAGTTCCCTGGAAATAATAAAGTCTTTTTCTGCCCCTATTTTGAAGTAATATGCACTGTTTATGAATTTAATTTTGTGTATAGTTTTGGCAATCTTAAAAAAAATTACTCATAGTTGTCTTCATGTATCACTCTGAATCACTGAATAAATATATGTCCAAAACGTTCATCTTCCAAATCCTCAGTTCTACAAATATTCCTCAGTAATACTTGCAGACCAGTTGACTCTGAGTTAGGATAATAAGTAAAAGCCTTGCTTAAAGTTACTTGCATTAAAGTAAAAACTTGCTGCTGCTCATTAAACTGGCAAGAAAATACATTATGGAAAGAAAAGCTCCATAGAATAAGTCAGGAAATGTAATTCTCAGGAAAAAGGATGTTTCTCATCTTGGAAAAGCTGCTTATACAGAAATCTTAATATTGACTGAGGTATTTGTCCACATTCAAGGGACATGAGAAAATTTGTGAGTTTGGAAAATATGGGCCTGATAAGATGAATTTTTAGAATCTGTTTTACACATAGCATTTTTATTCACCAAGGGAGTTTATGTCTGTTGAAATGTTTTTTATTTTGGCAGACAACTGTTTGAGGAGCAGACGAGAGGTAAGGAGACCTTGATTCTTTGTGTGACGCTACGGCCACTGAACATCTGTATGTCTGACTCTTCCTCAAGGGAATTTATTTTCTTGGTTTTGTGTCCACTCCATTTTCTTTAGGAAAAAAACAAACATATTTTGGCTACTGTCCTCTTTGAAATGCTCATCCAAGGTTTTCTAGAAAAGCTCATCTTACTCACTTCCTTTCTTCCTTCCCTGGTCCTATCCTAATTACTAAACTTACATTGATTAAGGTGGAATAAAGCAACTCAGCCACATAAACT